GGTTTGGGGGTCATTCACTGCCAGAGTTAGATCTCATTAGAAGGTCTGTGATGTGTATGAAGAACATTATTACCGCAATGAGAGTTCTGGAACTCCAATATCACAAGGAGCCGGATAACAGGAGCGTTATAAAGTTATAGAACTAAAATATTGGCGGAAACTACGAAACGAACGTTCTAAAACGTACAATATATCATAGACCCAGGTGATCAATATACTCAATTCACAGAGCTTTACCACATGGATACGGATCTTTATTTAGGCCATGTGACTCTAATATTCAAATCTCATTGGACTCAACTGTCACTTTTCTGAAAATAAAGCTTTGGGAACCGAGCCCTGATATGATATTATCTGAATACCTGAAACATTGTATGTCTATAATAATAATTGTTACATTGTACGTCTTTATAATTGTTACATTGTATGTCTATAATAATGATTGTTACATTGTACATTTCAAATACTTCTTGTAATATTGTTCATCTATAATACTTATTCAATCGTCGTGTATTTATAATTCTTATTGTAACATTATAGTTTTCCGACACTGTTTTAGTGCTATAAACTTTACATTTCTTATGTTCCATACGCTCCTTGTGATATTGGAGCCTTACAGGTGTTCTACACCCGCCAATGTCTCAGGCTTCGAGGATTACATGAGGCTCAACACACTGGGATGCACATCTTTAATTTAAAGATAAAAAGTCATTTTCAGCTGAGAGCCAATGAAATTTAAAGACGAAAGTCACATGACTGAGAATAAAAGATCCTCATCCTGGTGTTAAAGCTGAATGGAGCCCATTATTAATGGATGTTCAAAGGTAATAAAAGGACGACGAGTGATAAAAGATTGTAATACATTTCAGTGTTCTACAGCTACAACGTTACAGTTTTAATATGATTTACACCTTTCTATAATCTAATAAGGTGACGCTGTTATAAGGCGACGGTGTTATAAGGCGACCGTGTTATAAGGCGACGGTGTTATAAGGCGACCGTGTTATAAGGCGACGGTGTTATAAGGCGACCGTGTTATAAGGCGACGGTGTTATAAGGCGACCGTGTTATAAGGCGACCGTGTTATAAGGGGACGGTGTTATAAGGAGACCGTGTTGCAAGGAGCGTTGTTGCAGCAAATGGATATGGATGATATGAGGGTACATAATTATACATATTAGTTATTTATCATATATAATATTATAGTAATGAGAATATTGTGACAAGTACACTAAGAATAGAAGTGAACGCTCCTTTGATTGGATGAGTGGCTGTGTAGACCTCACCAGGCCTGGCCAGCCAGGATGTGGGATATAATGCTGATGGTATGTGAGGAGTGACACACCGGCCTTAGAGACATGTGCCAGTATGCTGGTATATGTTTCTAGGAGTTCGATGGGAGCACATAGGGAGTCAGGAGGGATGAGATATTTAGTGAATAGGTGATTATTGGCTGTCTTTCGATAAACATGTTGCAAATTATTATTAGTGAAAGTGTTAATCTTTTCGGTGGGGGTTGGGGTTCTTATCATCCAAGTATTTGTAATAGCTTATTTTTAACCTCCACACTGCCTGCCGATGGCCAGCGATGCCCCGATTGGACACAGGAGGGTTACATGTAGAGGTGGTGCCTCTGTCATCCATCATTCTCTAATTGGACGGATGACATTTGCTGCGCCAATTTCTGGGCTGCCATCGTAGCGGAGGGGCTGACACCTCTCACCAGGAGAATCGCCGGGGGGTCTTGTGAAAATAGTGCGACGTTGGCTGACCCTGGACGCTGAATGAGCCCGCTGGCTGGTGAGTGTCGATCACGGCTCTGTGTGTGGCAGGATGGAGGCCGATAGCCGATTGGTCACGCTGCTCCAAGCATTGTCCCGGGCTCGCTGGCTCTGTGGGAAAAGCCGGCCTGTGAAGGGGGCCGCAGGGGCTCCCTGTGAGAGGGGGAACGCCTCAGATTTTCAGCCTGACAAGTCGGGCTAATTTGTGGTGCAGGGGAGAGCTGTACAATGTCAGCAGTCACCGACAGGGATCAATGGGGCCTCAAATTAGCGAGACCGATTCTGCAGCGTGGGGGGGCTCGGAGATTTGGGGGGGCAGGGAGGCACGAGGCACTGAGAGCTCCGAGGAGGCACCTACCTGGGAAATAGGATGATCTGATGAATGGTTGGAAGGAGCCCTCGAAGTACGGCAGAGAGAAGGTGGTTTTTGGAGGGGCTGCGTGGAGCAACGTCGGCGAGGAATCTGCAAAAACAAAATGGACGTAAATGATCAGTATAATCGCTGTACTCAGTTGCCTTTCAATTAAAGGCAACATTTTAAAATGGAATGGCGGCTATGAATGGGCGCGTTCACATGGGCACGGGAAAATTATTTTGCGCACCATGTGCAAGAACTTTACTAGCAACCAACATCCAGTGTGCCTCATGCTGGTGGGACTAATCAACCTTGGAGGTGCCATAAGGACATATCGAAAATCATGCAAAGCGCCATAGTGGCATCTTATTGGGACCTGAATGTTGGCATGCCGGGAGCCCAGGGTTCAGCATTGCCATTCAGATCTGCCAACACAGCAGATACAATTTTAAATGGTGTGCCCCCCACCCCCACCTACCAAATAAGGATCCCCAGGATAAAGGTTATCCACATGTCCCACCAGGATAAAGGGTCCCCGTATCCACCAGGATAAAGGGTCCCCATATCCACCAGGATAAAGACTCCCCATATGCCACCAGGATAAAGGCTCCCCATATGCCACCAGGATAAAGGCTCCCCGAACCCCGCGAGGAGAAAGGGTGCCCG